GGATGACGACGATGGAGCAGAAAAACATGGAGGAGTGGAAGAGAGCAAAGGGTTTGAGCCAGATGACCTTCCCCACAACAAGAAACGTAGGGCTAGGGAAGAACTGCCCAGAGATTCTTCTTGTCAAAATGAGGATCAGAATGATGGTACCGAAAACAAGGAGGATACTGGTGAAAGTATTCCTAAACGAACTCGAGTACTAGGTAATAGCCTTGGTAGACGGGTGCAGTTTTCTTCTGTTGCTGCTGTTTCTGTTTTTAATCCGAAGGATAGCTTAGCCTCCCCCATGCTTCCCCCTCACGGGGTCCCAGTTCATGGTAGATAGAAGTGTTTTGTGTTTTCAGCCGCACTAAGACTGACGTCTTTTCATTGGTCAGCCGGTTGGCGCGGTCGATGCTAATAATAAAACACAGACACACAGGAGTACCGGAGTGCTCTACGCCGCCGACGCATGGAAACCACCGTAGCGCCGACCTTGCGTCTAGCACTTCCAAAGAAGTGCAGCAGCCAGGATCTAGTTAAACATCAGCAACTCCTCTGCCTGCTTCAAGAATAACAGCGAGCGGTGTGGGACTCGTGCAAGGAGGAACGGTCAACCACCGTAGCACTGAACTATCTAGCACTGCCAGTTAAGTACAGCAGCCAGGATCCAGTGAAGCATCAGCACCTCCTCTGCCTGCTCCAAGAACAACAGCGAGCGGTGTGGGACTCATGCAGCAGGACACGCTATCTGCTCTATCTTGCGCAGCTTGGGGTCCAGGTCCTGTGGGGGGTGGTATCCAAGAAAGTGGGTCTGCTATGAGCGCTCTGAGCGGCGGTAGAGGGAGTAGTGTCGGCGTCAGCGTCGGCGGTCACGTACTTGGGTGGGGCGGTAGCCAAGCAGGGGGAGGCTGGTCCCGCTGCTGCAGTGAGCGGCCGCAGGAGGGGTGGTGTCGGCGGCCGAGTCCCTGTGTGGGGCGATGTGCAACACAACCCTCACCAGGGTCGGGAGTTTGTGCCCTTAACGCCAACGGCGGCAGGGGAGGTGGCAGACCTGCGCGCACTCTGGTCGGTGGTAAAGTTAGTGGTGCCGGTGTCGGAAGTCATCGTCCTGGGCAGGGCAGGGCGATAGCCACTCTCTGAGCGGTGGTAGAGGTGGTGGTGCCGGCGTCCTGGGCGGGGCGGTAGCCAAGCAGGGGGGGCTGGTCCCGCTGTAGCAGCGAGCGGCCGCGGGAGAGGCGGTGTGCAGCCCTCACCAGGAGCGGGAGTTGGTGCCCTTAATGCCAGCGGTGGCAGAGGAGTCGGCAGACCTGCGCTGACAAGGACCACACTAAACCGCCGGTGCTCCGCGTGTGGTGCATTGCCTTCATACGGAAACCAGAAAAAGAGACTCTGCCTGGACGATAGGTGCCCGCGATAGGCGTGCAGGGCGCGCTGCTACCACGGGTTCAACAAGAATCGCCAACAGAAGTGCTGCGAGTGCCACAAAAGCATCAAGACGTGGTGCGAGTGCAAAAGGTGAGCCTGCTCCTTTTTTGTTGTCGTATGTCGTCTCTATCTTTATCTTTCGAACAGGTCGGTCTTCCCTTCTCATTTTTTCGCCGCGACCTAGAGATGAAGATTGAGGTTGTGGGTTCTGCCCCCAGAACCCTCGCAAACCTGGGCACGGGACACGTTACCTATGTAGGCCTCTCGCTCGCAACGTGCGTCTCGAAAGTAAATCCGACCTCTCAATTGCCTACAATTGTCACCGTTGCGCCGTTCCATCTAACCAGCTGCTCAAGGAAAACACGGGCGGTTCTACCAGCCAACCGGGTATCAAGGGGTACGGGTTTGGTCGCCGGATCAGGGGGCGGTAGGGGACGAGGAGCTCCGCGGCATGTAGCCGTGAGCGTGATTCGCTTGCCTGCAGCGGATATTGCTGTAAACACCACGCTGTCGGCATGCATCGCTGCGAACCAAAACCGGGTAGTGAAGACGGTGCTACGGAATCCTGCGCCAACAGCGACGAACCCGAAGCCTTCACCGCGGAGCAGCTGCTCTAGGTTAGAGTGCCACACGTGAGCGAACCATGAGATACGGGGTGTAACCGGTTAGCCATGTCAAACAGGGTGTGCCCAGTGTTCGCTTGCTGTTATTTGTTGTTGGTTGGGTCATGCGAAATGGTGCACGAAGCACCAGGTCGAAGCTCCTTGAAGTATTGGCCGGCCCGATTATGGCTGTTTTCAGATGAGTTTCCTTTTGTCCAAGGTGTTGCTGAATTGTCGTCGTTGCTGATCGTCGTCCCATGTTTACTCGCCTTGTTCGTCTCTCAGGATGCTTCTTCATCAGCGATCGGTTAGCCAAACAGCGGGGGCCAACGCTGGCGTTCAGAGTGCTACGGGGGGCATTTGCGAGCACGCCGCTGCGTCGTTGGAAGCGCTTGGCAAGAACACGGTGATGGACGCGACGCCTATCTTTTTCAACGGCATCAACGGATGTCCGTGCGCGGGTTTGACCGCGTGTATCTCGCAAGCCCGAGCTAAAGCGTTCTTGCCGGAAGTCGAAGAAACGTTGTTGTTGGGGATGGGGGCGGAGGCAAAAGACATCGGCGTGTACCCAGTTGTCCAACTAGGCGAGTGGGGATAAGCCATGAGCGACAGGCGGAGTAGAACTTGCGAACTGGACTGGGCCCATGTGGAGTACGACAAGGGTGACGGCAAGGGCAAGGGCGAGGGCAAGGGCGCGTCGAGGAGGATCACTGCTGCCCGGGGTTTGATGTGCAAGGTGAGGATATTTAAAATACTGGGAAGCTTGCGACAGTTCTTGGAGTACGGAACGAATATGGAATACGCCGCTGTGTATTGCGCTGTGTGCAACTTAAATGCTATGCCAGCCGATTAGTGGTTTGTGCTATTATCGGCCTTGGATATCTCGCATACTGAATGTCTCGAAGTTTGAGGCCGAAAAGTGAGGTTTTCAGGAGAATTGCGTGCTCGCACTTTGAGTGAGGGGTGGGTACTCTAGGCTGGGTTCTGTTACACCGGGTTTATGGCTTCAGAGGAGTCCGTTCGCTATCGTGTATTGGCAGTCAAGTGGTAGACCATTCCAACGATATATCCTGCCGTNCCGCTGTGTATTGCGCTGTGTGCAACTTAAATGCTATGCCAGCCGATTAGTGGTTTGTGCTATTATCGGCCTTGGATATCTCGCATACTGAATGTCTCGAAGTTTGAGGCCGAAAAGTGAGGTTTTCAGGAGAATTGCGTGCTCGCACTTTGAGTGAGGGGTGGGTACTCTAGGCTGGGTTCTGTTACACCGGGTTTATGGCTTCAGAGGAGTCCGTTCGCTATCGTGTATTGGCAGTCAAGTGGTAGACCATTCCAACGATATATCCTGCCGTCTTGGGTTTTCGTATGTGCTGGAAAATGGATCCACAATAATTTGCGTTAACGTTGTCGACGGTGCCGTACCGGATGAAGTTGGCCTCTTAAATTGTGCTCCCCCGAGGGTAAATACACAGGTGGGTAAGGGTGATTTTTCCCACGTGAATACGCCGGGGGTTGATCACCCCTGGAGAGAACAGAAAAAAAAGACTCCCATTCACACACTGTTCGTAAGTCGCGAGGGAAGGGATTGCTGTACCCTTCTCGCGATAAAAATACCTCAGGCATGAACCGCAGGAGGGGGTCCAACCCCCCCCTCCTATGTGACCCCGGTTGGGTCGTCTAGCTAGTAGAAGTGGAGGATAGGGGCCAGAGGGGCAGACGACAGAGTCCAGTGATGGGAGAAAAACAAACACAAAAAAAAAAAACTGTGTTCCCGCAATGGAGAAAATACGCGAGCAAGCGTTCGACGGATGACGGGTACCGTCCAAACATCCTCTGAGTGCGTCAGCACTGACGCGTTGTGATGGTGAAATGCTCGTGAAAGATCGTCCGAAAAAAACTGGGGAACTCACAACAATCGCTGGAGCGTGTACTTACCCCGGGGGCAGATTTTAAGGGGGGGGGGCTCTAGAAAAACGAGCACCTCCGGGGTTACGACAACGTTTTGACATATTTTTGCGGAAATGAGGGGGGGGGAGTACGACATTGTACTCACATTGTGTGGAAGGTAAGCACCGTCGATTGCACTATTCTCAAGGTACCGCCGTTTGAAACCTTGTCCAATCTAATATCCCTCCGCAAAATACGTTTGCACCAATGTCATATGCATACGTCGCACATGTACCCGGCACAGGCAAACCGGGGGGGACCCTGTAGCGAGTTCGAGAAGAACCGAAAGTGTGTTCACACGTTGGTGGTCGCCCTGGCGCGTTGGGAAGAGGAGGGTATGCGAGATGAAGGGTTGGATGTCGGGCAGGTGGACGTGGATGGAGATAGAATTCCAGACGGAACGCCGCCCACGGCGCAGAAAATGCTCGACAAGGATGCACCGGCGTATCGCAAGGGCTTAGCAAACTGCCTGAACACCATGTCAGTCTACAAGTTCCGGGAGAACCTCCCTTTCGGCCTGGGACGTCGTGGTGCCACCACCAACGCAAACGCCAGCATCACTTACACTACATCTCAGAAGACGTGTTCAGGGTGTGGTCGTGACTTCCCTACGGAGAATCAGCATACCGTGGTTGCAACTCGGTTGACAGAGGTGAATGCAGCATCTCTGTGGGAACTTGTGGCAGTACCCTGCTCAGCATGGGGCTCGCCTTGTGTGCCGGAGGCAAACATTTTAGATGCCCCCACCCTCATCCACTCCTGGGCAGGCTACATAGTTCTCCTGCGCCTGCACTGTACCCGCACTGTGTGGCTGCCTTTTAGTTGTTTCTCTTGTTGTGGTGGTAGCTGTGGCAGCATTCATGCTGTTGGCGCCGGCTGTCGAGTACCATGCTTGATGGCAGCGGAAATCAGAGAAAATAGGGTGGGCACCCCCACGTCGTGTTTGTGGGTGTCGACAGGCCGTGCACACTCTCCCGAATGCTCATTAAAGAGGGGTGAATCGGTGGCAATCGCCCGACCTTCCCCAAAACCCTGGAGTCGCCATCCTGAACGAAACCGCTGGTGATCATGCGAGATTTACCCGCCGAGTACGATATATCGGTCTGCTAACAAATTGCTGTGTGTGACTTGTTGCAGGGGCCAGGCATGTCGGAAGTGAACGTGCACACAAACGATGTGAGACGTGCGGCATCCACGGATTGGCCAGATACAACTGGCAGGAGACTGATTTTTTCAACTGCAACAGCAGTTACATGGTGGAGCTGTCTATCCTGTACAGATGCCTGGAGGCGTTCGCCAGGGGTACGACTACAAGCGCCTTCTTCGAGACGTTTTCAGAACCTTTGGCGAGTGACCTGGTCTGGATCAAGGCGAACCCTGATCTCAGCAATAGGTAAATGTAATGTTCCACGTTGATATTTAAATGTGTCTGTCAAAGCCCACCTATTATAGTCATCCTTCTCACCAATCGCTGTTGAGCTGGCGGTGTAGCAAGCTGCTGAGGCGTGTCTCGCAGCGAAAAATATGTCATGGTCGCATTGGATACCGAAACTACCAGGGCTCCTCATTTCGCAAAAACTCAGATCGTAATCGATCCTGTTTTCCAGTTCGGTATCCTTATAAGCTGGCGATCTGAAGATATTTCCCTTTCCCGAATTCTAGGCACCACTCATTGCACCATTTCCCCCGCGGGCATGCTTGATTATTAGAAAAAAAGCCGTAGTGCCCACTCTACTCTGCTAGCATGTAGCATGTAGCATGTAGCATGTAGCATGTAGCATGTAGCATGTAGCATGTAGCATGTGGCATGCGAAGCAGTTCGTTGTTGTGGAAAAGTGTGTTGATATTGCATCGAGGGGGGGGGCTTGGTGCTTATATTCTTGTTGAATTTTGAACAGGATGTGTGTAGTGCCAAACAACCGCATTTTTCGACGAATTTTTCTTCGCGCATGACCTCCACGTCCAGGATCGCAAACTGCACCAACTTGCTCAACATGCTCCACAACTTTTTCTTGGCGTTCCTGGCCCTCATCGACCACACCTTCGAGTTCCGGTGCTGGATGTGGGGGAAGTTCCGCCGGTCCTCACTTTCGACGCCTGCATGAAGATCGCCTGCAACTTCGTGACTCTGGGGCAGGTGATTGCGTCGAGACCCGAGCAAGACATGAACACTGACCTCGTCATGAATCTTCTGCAGTTGAGCATGGTATCGCCAGCCTGGTTCGGCGGCACAAGGGTAGTATTTGTGGTCGGGGCCGGGGAGACGGTTGGAAACGCGCCAGTGGGGGTGTCGCCAGACATCCGACTGTCGGAGATCTTCCACAAGACACAGCGTGGGGTGTTGCAGGGAAGCAACAACACCGCCTTCGTTGAGCAAGGCAATGGCGCTCTCCTTATCGATAGGCTGGAGAGGAAGGCGGCATGGACGTGGCGACCCTGAAAGGCCACATGAAGGCCTGCTGGCCCGATGGAGGCGTTTCAATGTGAGTACAGAGTCACAGCCTAGAGAATTAGAGATATAGTATGGTTGTGGTCTGCGGGCTCAGCTACGTGTGTGTGTGTGCCTCAAAGAACAACTGAACGTACGACCGTGTATGCACGGGCGCAGATTTGATCACCTGCTTTGGCATGAAACCGTTTTTCGTTTTTCATGTGGCGGGTCGGGGGTCTTGTGTCCCCGGACACGCCTATATACGGCTCCCTCTATTTCACGCCGTTTAGTGTTTAGTTTTGTCTGTCCGGTGTCGAGCGGGGAGTTGTGTAGCAGAACAGCGGCCGATCATGTTTGGTCTGGGAAGCAACCTACTCTCCCTCCAACGCGTAGAGGTTGACCCTGGAAAATACCCGAAAAATACCTGGATCGCTTCGTGGGCTAGCTATCCGGTTTATTCGATGTACATGTGGAGAGTATGCCCTCATGTACTTACGAGTGATATTCCTCACAAACAGTATCCCTTGCTTATTGTGGGCATTCTAAACCAGAGATCCGTTGTTTGCCCGTACAAGTCCAACGAGTTGAGACGCTATTGATGTTCTTTGGAACCATCAACCATTTCTTGGCGTGCGTCAGTTAGTAGGTGGCTGTTAAGGCCGCGCGTTGTCCGGCCATCGCAATGGCTGTATTCCTCTTATGCCCTCTTGCGTCGTGTGCCATTTTTTCTTTTTTTGCTTGGAGGTTCTTGACCAAGGAGCCGATGATGTCGATCCTGCAGCAACTGCACTCGTTTTGGGAATCAGATGGCAACCCCAACCGCGGGTCTTGCCCGAAGCATTTCGTGAGCCGAGAACGTGGCGTTTCAGAAGGGGTGATGGACGTCTTCACGCCGAATAAGGTCATGTTTATCCACAAGGTGCTGCCGGAGAGTGCGGTGGACATGAGCGATTGCGTGGGGGATTGCCAGGTGAGAGGACAATTCTGTTGGTGATGCCTATCCGTCGTGTTCAGTGGGAACACATGCCGGCATCTACGTTGCCTTGCCTTGCCGAGAGAGACATCAAACGTTCACTTCATATATGAATGCTCAGTGCGATGTACGTTTGAGTCTTCTGGGGCACGAAGGAGTGCCGCGGTTATAAGTGACTGGACCAAAGGATGTCGTGTTGGAAAGCGTAACTGCGTGGAGCACGAGAGCAATGCCGAAGTAGGAAAAATGTGCAACCCAACAAAGGAAAGAATTTATCATCACTACTAATGGTACCTGAAAACAGTAGTCCCGCACACCTAAGTTGCCCCTCCGCGCCCCCGGCGAAGGGCCGAAAACAAAACTTGAGGTATCGTTTGCATTTTTCTTTCGTGGTGTATAGCGCCCACTTTACGCAAGCCGCATATGAAGGGTCCATCGTGTGCTACTAGTGTGTTCGTTTCACACACACTTTGAGCGGACTAGGTGGTCTAAATGTGCTTCGTGTCCGTTTTGTGGTCATGACTCTAGCCCTAAGGGTGTTCGCAAGAGCAGATCCTAGCTCGCGCATTGGGGTACCCGGACGCAAACCTAGGTCCCCAGCGAGGCGCGCATGGTGTATAGAGGAATTGGAACCCCCCCATGGAATGGGTCAAGGTTGTAGAGGACGTATGGAAGGGGCTCGACATCGACGAAGATGAAACGCTGGAAACGGAGGGTCTACAGGGGTTCAAGGAGAAGATATCTGGTGCTTGTGCCGAGAGAGAAGAACAGAATCTGAGGAAAGAATCCAAGGATAAGGAGGGTCTAGAAGTGTACGGAATGTTGAAGGAAGGAATAGGGTTCAAGGACTACCTACATGGACCAATGGATGCAGGAACAAAGCTTAAGGTCAAATTCAGGACCGGGGACATAGGCCTTCGAGAACGTCGACGAAGACATAGGACGGTAGACGAGGAAGACGACGAGTTCAAATGTGATTGCGGCTTCGAATGCGAAGACCGTGTTCATGTAGTCGCGGAATGTCCGTTGTACAAGAAGGAGAGGGAATTATACGTGACTGAGCTGGGAAAAATAGCTGGAACGTACAGGGAGATGTTTAAGGCATGGAATAGAGAGGAAAGGACGGTAGCTGTACTAGGGCATAGGAGGTGGGTTGAAATGACGGGAAGGGATATCGTTATGATAGACAGACTAGGGAAGACATTTTTGAGCCACCTTTGGCAAAGTATGAAGGAACGATTGGCCATCGGTGATCGTTCCTGTGGGAACAATGCTCTGTCCTCTCGA